TTTTCCAGTAGTCATGTATGGATGTGAGAGTTGGATCATAGAGAAAGCTGAGCACTGAAAAATTGATGCTTTTGAACTGTGGTGTTGGAGAAGACTCTTGAGAGTCCCTTGGACTGCAAGGAAATCCAACCAGTCCATCCTAAAGGAGATAGGTCCTGGGTGTTCATTGGAAGGACTGATGCTTAAAGCTGAAACTCCAATACTTTGACCACCTCATGCGAAGTGTTGACTCATTGGAAAAGTCCCTGATGCTGGGAGGGATTGAGAGCAGGAGAAGGGGACAACAGAGGATGAGATGGCTGGATGGCATCACCAACTCGATGGACATGAGGTTGAGTAAACTCCGGGAGTTGTGGTGGACAGTGAGGCCTGGCATGCTGCGATTCATGGTGTCGCAAAGAGTCAGACACGACTGAGTGACTGAACTGAACTGAAGATGGAAGGAAGTCTCACATATAGAAATATACAGGGCACAAAGAAGAGGCACCCCACAGTGATGTGGGAGCCACAGGTTGACAAGGCTTTTTGTTTCCCTTCCTGACTAATATTCTTCAGGGAGTACAGAATGATCTCATAGGTTATGAGTAACAGCATGAAGAGGACCAAACAGATTATGCAATCATTGGCAACCACTATGATGACAATCATGTGGGCTTCAGTGCAGGCCAGTTTTAACAAGGGGTACATGTCACACATGGAGTGGTCAATAACATTGGGGCCACAGAAGGGAAGATTTTAAACAAAGACAATATTAACTGTAGCATGTAACAGTCCACCAACCCAAGCCAACAGCAATAGCAGGATACACAATTGCTGATTCATGATTGTCACATAATGCAAGGGTTTGCAGATGGCCACATAGCGTTCATAGGCCATTATGGCCAGGAGTAAAATCTCAGCATCACCAAAAAATGCTCTGTAAAGAAATGAATCATGTAAGTTTGGAATGAAATGGTTTTCTTCTCACAGAGTAAGTCTATAAATGTGTTTGGGTTAACTGTAGTAGCATAAACAGCATCCATAAATGATAAGTAGCCAAGAAGGATATATATAGGGGCATTCAGGGTTGGGCTGAACACCACAGTCAGGACAATGAGTAGGATGCCCACCATGGTCACAATGTAAATGAACAAGAACAAGACAAATAATATTTTCTCACCCTGGTTGCTCTGAGTGAGCCCCAAGAGGACAAACTCAGTCACATTGTTCCTTGTTTCCATAATGTTCTGTGTGTTTTATTTCAGAGATTAGGACACAATTATCTATAAAAATAATTGTTACTTATGACTTTCTGAGGTCTTGTGATAATTTGTTTATTCATTCAAAAATAAGTCTTGTGATTTATTATTTTCTGGTACTTTCAGATATTATAATACAATGTTGTGAGAGTCCTCTGGTAGCCCAGTGGTTAGGACTCAGTGCTTTCACTGCAGTGGTCTGGGGTTCAACCCCTGGTTGGAGAACTAAGATCCTACAAGTCACATGGGGCAGCCAAA